AAGTCCTGCATATACAACGTTAAATAATCAGTGGAGACTCATTTCTGTAATTTGTCATATGGCCCTCCATGAAGTCAAAGCCTTGTTTTGTGCTATTTTCTAGAAATATCCATTACATTTCACAAGTAAGACAAACCTCTTTGGAACAATATTTATTACACTAAAATCTGATCCACCAAAGCAGGACCTGTTTGTTTCACAAACCTGATCACATGTCTTTTCTGGATAAACATGTAAACATACAGAAAGCTCAAGCTGAACAGATTTGTGGGCAATACATATTATTGTTTGGAGAAAAAAATGAAACCAGGTTAATACTAGCACGTGGGCTGATTTGAACTTGTAGCTCACTGAAAATAAACCTTTTGTAATGGCAATGTTGATACAACCTTAACTATAACAGCACAAACACTGCTTCTGAAATATAGTTTTGGGTAAGCTCCATCAAGGAGTGTTTTGTAAATGAATAATGACTTTGCTTAAAGCCAATCAACATCAAGTGTGTTAAAAAAGATGAAATAGTGCTGGAAGGCAGTGGGAGGTAGAGGAGCCTCAAAGTGCAAACAGGTGCTGATCTCCCTTCAGGGGGGATTGAGTGGCACAGACCTTACAGGCCTGTCACTTCTGATCAAAGCAAGCTCCAAGACCACATAATCACCATCACCCACCTTTTAAAGGATGCCCTGATTTATCACCTGTCAGTGTTAATAACTTGGCTACTCTGTCTAAAATACTTAAGAACATTACACAAGGATAACATTTCAAATTTTTTTTTAAAAGAAATGTGTAAATGTTTTAAACTAAAATGCACTGAAGTTCCTCTTTGAGGCCATCTGTTGTTGGAGACCACCTGTCATCAAAAGACCACCTGAGCACATAATATCCCATCATTACAGAACTATCCCCTTGAAGCCATGGATTTTAAGTGTTAGAATAAGAAGGGTGTATGTTACAGACATTGTTGTTACTGGGCTTTTCATATAGTTTGAAGCCATGGGATGACAGCCATATGTGAATAATGGCTTCATAATAACATACATATGAAATGCTACTTTGGGAAAAATCTGATAAGAGATCTGAACATTCCTTGACTAAGCTCCTCATGTCCTTTCAACCATGGTGCTTGCACTGTACTGTTCAAAGTGTCCTAATATGTCATGCCTAAAACTAAACCTTGAAACTACAGAGCTTAATTTTAATTCTATTTATAAAGAAGCACTGCCATTTCACTGAGAAACAAGACTCAAATTATTGTAAACAGAATTCTGTGGGGTTTTCTTCTGAATCCTGTTTTTCCCTGCTGATCTCATACTCTTACTTCATTAATCGCTCTCTAGTAAACAAAAGTACTCTAACAAGCTACCTTTGCCAAAAAAAAGAGGAACTTTCTGCCTTTCTTCCACCTGGCCCTAACATATGAATCTCTACCTGAACGTTGAGACGTGATCTGCATCATCACAACCTACGTACACAGTTTGAGACAACTTCTACCCTCATGGGTAATCTACAACTCTGACGGGAGAGAACAGAACTCTCGTAAAAAAGCCCATGGCAGAGACCTGATGCTTGATTTACAGTGTATGTATACACTAACAGAATTAATTTTTTGAGATATTTTTATCTCATAAATCCCACCGGACTGTGATAAAATGTCCTCTCCAGAAGGACGATCTGGACCTGCATTCCTTCCTCAACAAGTTTGCTATGGAGTGACTGAATGGTTAACATATCCACATATAGATACTTTTCTTAAAAGTCTACTGATAAGCAAATACCCAATAGGTCTTGACAGTACTTAGAGAAAAATCCTATAAAATGCAATAAATAAAAATGCGAACATGATATTACTAAAATATAAAATTACTGTGAAAAGTAAAAAAAGTTTAATATCAAATATTTTTGTGATATTTGCTTAAAGACTTCTTAGGTTTATTGTTATCATTATCATTTAACTAATGTGCAGACTTCTAAGACAAGAATAAAATTCTCAAGTTATTAACAATGTTATATTAAATCACTGAAATGTTGTGAAAATAACTATATCACTTTCCCTTTACAGTTGTAAGCTTCTAATTCCTTAAGTAGCAACTTCAATACAAAACTGTTAAGGCTGTTAGGAGTTATGGGACAGTAAGAATTACAATTTCTGAATTAATTAATTCTTAAGATGTCTTTAAAGACAATCATTATACTCTGCTGCATTTACAGTACATTAGTCCCAATGTAATGAAATCAGCCTCATTATATACTTGAAGAATCTAGTTTGCTTACCAGTAAAAAAATAAAAAATCCTGAATAACTGCAAAGCTGAAATAAAATCTAAATGCTCAGTTTATCATTTAGCAAGAATCTATTTCTAACATGATGCATCTAGCCAAGAATTCATATTTGGCATTTTCATAGAAGAACTTGCAGTTCTGCTCTGGTGACAATGAAGGGTCTAAGTTGACAACTGATTAAACTTGAAAAAATCAGCCACTGCTGAACATCTTCATTTTTTTTTTTCCTCTTCCAGAATCCTAGTAGCAGACTGTAAAAATACATGGTCAACAATGAAAGCAAATCATTTTCTACAGTCTACAAAAATAGTGAGATGTTTATTTCAGTGGCTAATGTATTTTAGAGCAAAGCCTGAAGCCATTCTGTAAACAAATCTGTCACTAGTAAAACCAGCAGTAACCTTTACATCAGAGATGAAACTTGTGCAAGGCAGATACATTACTGGCAAAGTTATATGCATAATAACGAACCACATATTTGAAGGATTCCTGTAGCAATTTGCAATACACAGGGTTTTTTAAAACTTTCTATTTCTTAGGATCTAATGTAATTGATCTTAACTAGAACATATACAGATGCAAAGGCATTATTAATTCAGTAGTTTCAGAGGTAGATTTGTTGAGTGCAATGTCCTCGTTCGGCTCCAGCAGGGTGTGCTCTGACAGGATTAACTTCCAGGGCATCTAAAAGCTGTGTATCAAACAGAGGCACATAGGCACAAAGGAGGAAAAGTGTATTTTGGCCTCCCCCAAGAGATAAATTTTATACTGAAAGCTGCTTTGCATGTGTGCATTTTAGACATAAAGATTAATAATACCTGCAACGTAATTTTTGCCATTCAAGTTCCTAGCCATTGCTAAAAACATTTAAAAAGGCTACAAGAAGACAAAATTAATCTGTAGCACTGCACAGATAAATTGAAAAAACAAGCCACTAAAAAAGATCATTTTGTTATAAAGTTCCTAGCCACAAGGTTACTATCACAGGGATCCTCACTCTACTAAAGTCCATTAAGACCTCTCCTTTCTATGATGAGATACCTGATAAAAGGTTTTCTAGAACAGCCTGTGTGAGAAAGTGAGGTTATATTCCTGTCTCACCAGGTGATCACACAGCCTGTTAGTCAACTGCATGGAAAACTTCAGGTCTGTACAAAATCATGCTCCACTAAAAACTTTTTGAAAATATATTTATACGTTTAACTCTATCAGATAGCCTTCCCAAAGTAGTATTCAAATTCTGTGTTTCGATCTCCTCTCTTCTTTCTCCCGACTTTCCTGAAGTCTTTTCCAAATAATGGAAAAAAAAATCCCAGAAGAGTAGAGACTGAATTGTATTCAAACCGTGCTGAAGTGAGCCAGCTATCTTTAACATGCTGAACATACCCTATGCAAATTTTAAAGGGGTGTTAACCAAGGATCATTGCTGTAATCTCAGTGCTTTGTAAACATGGTACTACTCTACATCACTGCAGGTTTTTTTACATCACTAAAGCTTCTTCCCAGTTTTCTCAGTTGCAGAGGTTCACAGAAAGATGCAACTTCAAAATCCATTTATTTAATTCCAGCTTGCAATTTCTTTCAAGTAAATTACTGTTCTACCTGCTTACACTTGCAGGCAAGTATAACAACTATTATATTCAAAGTGTGCTTTTATCAAATAATTGCGAAAACAAGTTTATTAACCACAAAGCACATCAGAGAAAGTTTAGAACACACAAAATTATCAAACTAAAGAACATATTTTATTTTTAATAAAATAGTGGAGCATGAAAAATAATTGTATATTACAAATATATACAGCACAAAACTGTGCACTCCCAGCACAGTAAAGAGCATCACTCTATACAAAGCTTCCCTTTGCAGAATCTAGTGCTTCTTGATCTATTCATAGTGAGAATTTGTTTAACAATAGAAAGAGTCAATAAGCCCTTTGGGTCTCTTTGAATTGATCCCCCTCCTTTTTTTTTTGCACAAATCAGTCCAAACGTGTATAACATTGGCTTGATTTCCATTAAAAAGCCACAAAATGTAACACTAAAGGGTTTCTGAGGACTAGACCTCTTAGTTCTTTTGTTAAGAGATTTCTTTTGTTGTCTTTATGTACAGCAAAATACTTGTTTCTCTTTTCATGTCATGGTAAGAAAAAAAAATGTATTGCACATTATTCTTATTCACAAAGTTTGTGTCTGGTGCAGGAAGTTTCTCTTTTAGTGAAAGAATATTGGTGAGCATTATAGATTGAACCTATTTTTAGGCACTCCAAACCCACTAGGCTGAGATGAGTTGTAAAGGATTTCTCTCTTTTTTAAGTTAGCACGGAAGTTGTTTTTACAGATAGCATACTTACTGAGGATAGGCCTCTCTGGGACCTTAGTTTCCCTAAAGAGACAATGCTCGCTTGGGCACTTTTAAAATAAAATCATTGCTCCATAAAACTTGACTATACCTTGTTACTCAAACCTGTAGGAAATCCAGCTCAGCTACATGAAAAAGTTAAATAGGGTGCTTTTTTTTTTTTTTTTTTCCCTTTTTAAAATTAATCTGAGGGCTGGATGAAGTACTTAACTACAAATTAGTAACAGACTGTTTTAATTCACAATAATTCTTTCACTGAAAACCTTTCTGTAAGTACATTTACCTTCAGTTTTTCACCAGGTCCTGAATTCAGAGTGATACATTTTTTGCCTTGAGATGTTAAACTGTTCTCTGGAGAAAAAAAAAAAAGCACCATTTATTTTTTAATATCTGACTGCTACTGTGGACATTTGTAAGTCTGTAAGGTGAGATAGTCTTTTCTAAAACCTGGTCACACACAAGTGGGTGGCTGTAATGTCGATTCATATTTTGCAAGGTGAGTTTTCTGTGGATGTTGAGGTTTTTTGTAGATTCCGCTACTTGTAATAACACTTGCAGGTTTTCTCCTACTTCTCTTCTTTAATCTTCGACTACAAACATTTTGCCAGGACTGAAGAGTCTTGGAAGTCCAGATCCACATACCACTAGTAATGCCCACGACTAACAACATAAAAATTTTGACCATAAAAATTTCTACTGCTGGAATAGAGTTATTCATCATACAGTCTAGATTTTTAGTCTGATTGTTCATCTTGCATTTCTGTTGAGTTGCCACAATTTTCCAATAATCCATATTAAGTCTTTCATAAAAATAGCAAGCTATCACACAAGTTGCAGGCACTGTATACAAGACTGAGAAGACACCAATCCTGACCATAAGTTTCTCCAACTTGTCAGTATTTTCTCCACCTGTTTTCATCACCCTCCTGATATGAAAAAGGGCCACAAAACCAGAAAGAATAAAAGAAGTGCCAATGATTAGATAACAAGCCAAAGGAATGAGTACAAACCCCGTCAAGGCATTCACGTCCATGCTTCCAACATAGCACAACCCTGTCAGCTCATCTCCAGCCACCCTTCTCATAACTAGGATCATTATGGTCTTCACAGCTGGAATGGCCCATGCTGCCAAATGAAAGTAGCTACTGTTTGCTTCAATTGCTTCATGCCCCCATTTTTTCCCAGCTGCTAGAAACCAAGTTAAAGTCAAGATTACCCACCACAAGGAACTCGCCATACCAAAGTAATACAGAACCAGGAATACAATGGTGCAACCAGTGCTCTCCAGTCCTTCCTGGATGACATAGAGTTGGCCGCTGTCCCTATCACAGGCAATGCTTTCAGCACCTGAAAAGAGGCGAATGATGTACCCCACTGAGTAGACACAGTAGCACATTGAGAGGAAGATAATGGGCCTCTCGGGGTACTTGAAACGCTGAGGATCTATCAGAAAAGTGAGTACAGTAAAAGCACTGGAGAAGAAGCACAGAATGGACCAGATGGCAATCCAAATGACAGCAAATTGTTTGTCATCCTTGCTCCAGTAAACATCAACCCCTGGACTGCAGAGCGGCGCGCAGGAAGCACTCTTTTCCACATGGTGGAACTTGCCAGGATTTTCACAGGAGGTTCTGCTGAGGCTGTCCTTATGCTGCTGCAGATCGTGGCCGCTGCTGGGCCTCTGCGGACGAAACATGGGTGGCAGCATGCTGGATCCTCTGGGTGGCTCATCTGATCCGTTGTTGGGGGCTTCCATGCACAGGTAATTGGGGTCGTTCTTGTTGGGCAGTTTACTGCAGTCTAAGGAGTCTGGCCATTTAAAATTGAACTGCTCCATAATAGGAGAGCATTTCAGCCTCGCCTGCTCGCACATAACCCTGCAGGCTGGGATTGGTGTAGAAACCTGCTCTGTGCACATAGGGGCATAGAGGGAGCAGAGGAAAAATTTCAGATGGCTGTGGCAACCATATTCCACCAAGGGGGCAAACTCGTGCAGCTGAATGGCAGCTTCCCTTTGGTTTTCGTGTCCCATCAGGTTAGGCATCCTCGTCATGTTGTACCCTATATCCTTGCACATGGGGATTTCTATCGGCTGACACCTCCCGTCACCGGGGCGGTCAATGTCTATGGAGCTTATCCCCGTGCAGCAGCAGGTCAGCCAGCAGAGCGCCAGCAGAGTCGGCACGAAGTTCCTCGTCGCCGGCCCCATTGTGGCGACCGCAGCGGCGCCGGGGCCACGCGTGCGGCC